CAAACAGCAGGCACAAGCCTAGAGTGCCCGTTGCTTTCGGGAAGAGTTGCCAGAGGTTCCTTCCTGCACAGACCAGCTACCATCTTGGTTCTGTTCCATGTGAGATCTGTGCCCTGAGGGAAGGGACAGCTCAGAGTCCAACAGTGGGTTGGGAAAGGACAGCTTTTGGGGCTGGGTGAGCCCCACATTTTGTGGCGTACCTTCAGGGTGTGAGGTGGGGAGCATGGCGCTGAGCTGCAGCCACCTAAGGAGGCCTCTCAGGCCCTCTCCATGGCTGCAGGCAGTGCCGCCGTCCCCCCAGCTATGCAGCCACCAGCACCAGTGTGTTCCTTCCAGGGACCCAGCAACCGAGTCGGGCTGCGAGGCAAAGGGCTGGGGACACCTGGCAGCCAGGCCTCTGGGGCTTCGTGTGGTCCATAGCAGCACAGAGCGATTCCCCAGTTCACTGGTGATTTATTTTTTTCTTTGAGCACAAAGTTGCTGTTTTATCAGCGGTGAAATGTGTCATTAACTATTGTGCCCTCTTCTTTTCTCTGAAGGCTTTTGAATAAAACATCAGGGAGCCTACTAAAGATGCCCCAGGACTCCTGCAGACGTCCCCACACGGGGCAAGGAAGGCAGAGCCTTCACCAGCCCAGGGCTTTTTACAGAACTCTGCTGAGCTGACTGGCAGGATGAAATGCCAGAGCAGGAGATGGACACAGGCTTTCACATTGCTCTCAGCCCTTTCTGGGGTTGTTGTTTGTTTTCTATTTATAGCCCTTCGGTTGCCCTTCCCATTGTGTTGTGGCTTAGGGTTACAGTTACAGACTAGCTTGTTAAATACTTTGTTAGATGCTGGATTTTGAAAATGTCAGTTTTGTTCTGTTTTCCCCTCTCTGCTGAACTCCCCTTTAGAGTTCCTCAGCTTTTAATTATACACAAATGTTAAAATGAACTCTTTGGAATTACTGTGTTTGGTGTGTCTTGCAGGAAGGAGGGGGGTTCTGTCTTCTTCTAAGCACATTTCTTGGTGCTCTTTTGCACGCAGATTAGAAATATATACAAACACCTGGGCTTGGTGCTTCCAAGGAATTAGGCAGTCCAGGGAGCATGTGCCATCCCACCCTTTTACTGGGTACACACTTTACTATGGGGGCTAATACAGGGAGGATGGGGAAGAGTAAAGCTCAGCATTTGACAGATTTTTCTCAATATCGTTTTCAGTCATGGAAAGGATAAATATTCCTTCCAGAGATGTGCTTTCTGATGGTAGTGCATTAAAAATGCTGGAAATGGAAAACATGACCAGGTAGAGTGCTTAAGAGGCAGGCAGAAGCTGAAGTGCAGGATGATGGCTGGGTTGAAGGCAATGACTGGTTTTCCTCTGCCAGTCCCTTTCCCCATCTTGCCAGATGAGCTGGTTGCAGGATGGTCACTCAAATGTTTCTTCTGAACCCCATGCAGAAAAGACAATGAAAGATAAGAAAATGTAGCATAAATGCAAGTTTGTTACTTAATCCCTGTTTCCAAATTAAATGCTACAAATGGATCTTGTTATCCTGAAGGGCACTTCTTAACAGATAAACAGATCAAAGCGCTCACATAGAAGTCTGAGTAAGCTTCATAAAACTTTCTTGATGAGCTTTTGTAAGCAGAATTGTCATACCCATAAACATTTAGATTCTCAACTAAACATCACTGCTCATTGTCATTAAAAAGAAATTGGTCCTTTTGCTTGAACTCGTGATCTCAATTCTTTTTCAGTTTAACTGGGGGAACAAAAGTTTGAATTGAAGTGGATAAAGCTCTTGCTGCACAAACAAGAATGTCATAGTGGTTTTATGATCATCTTGACACAGAACTCTGTTCTGCCTAGGACATTTGCTTAAAAAAAAATGATTACAGGTAAAGCAGAAAGCCTGGCAATTGCAGCTTGTATTTTCCCCTGCGTTTGCTAGTTGGATTAGAAAGAGTGTGGTGGACATGGCTTTCAAATTATTTTTTAATCACTGAATGCTGGGAAAGTTGTGCCAAATACACTTGAGAAATTCTCTGCTCCATAACCTGAGCAGATCTCCTAGCCAGGCAGCCAGTTGGCAGGAAAGTTCAGACTGTTGTGTGCTGTAAAAGCTCATTTCCCAGCTCACTGAATGGAACACAATCCTGTTGGCTGTTGTACAAAACTTGGCTGACGTTGATGGTATAGGTAACCTGAAAAAAAAGACAGCTATTATAAGAAGCAGTTGAACTCTGTAGTATAGATTAAAATAATAAGAAGCTATAGAATATATAGGACACGTACAAAACTACTAAACAATGTAAATAATGTTGATTGAATGAAGGGTTGCAGAAAGCCACAAACTTAGTTTGGTAGGAGTAATAGGAATAGGACAGAAACTGCAGAGACAGAGGCACCCAGAGAAGATACAAAAGAAAACAGCAAGTGAGTCTAAGGCAGCCTTCCATCATAACCCTGAACAAAGCCTGACGGGTTGAATGAAGTTTGGAAAGAGGCTTGAAACTTAGTGAAGAAATAGTGTCTTGATTCCCTGCTTTTTTTCACAGTGTCCAAATGAGTTTGTCTGCATGTTTCAAGAAGCACTTGCGTTTTATGGCACTGCTGATGTGGAAACGAAGAATTGACAAGGATTTTATGGAGGTAAGACACCGTGGGATGAAGAATGGTTTTGTCAACATGTAAGCCTGGAAGGGGCTATCTGATCATCTACCTGCGTGAAAGCAGGATCAAGTGTTGTTGCACTACCTTACTGGTTTTATTTTTAAAGGTCCTCTCTACAAAATAGCTAATGACTCTGTTTTAATGTAAGTCTGTCCTTTTAATTAAAATAATAATTATTTTGTGTCCAACCAGCAAAAATCCCCTTTATAAGAAACATTGGAGTGCAGTGTTATCACTGTGGAATAAAATTCGTCTGTAGTCTTCGGAATTTATGTATTCAGTTTTTTAGAAACTCTGTGCTTCCTCAGAAGAGCGGGTGGGTGCTTTAAGAACTTAAATAAGCCAGTAATAAATATTAATAGGAAATATTAAGAACTCCGAGTTTGCTTGGCAATATATGCTGTGTATGATGCTGTGGATATACATTCTAATTGGCTTTGCTACATCAGCCTTTAGACTCTCGCAACATTTACTTTTGACTGGTACAGCTGAGCAGAGATGGAAACCTGAAACTGAAGCAAAGAGCATGCTGCCCCTGTAAGACTAATTGCTGTTCATGTCCTTTTCACAAACATCCTTTCTGGCCTGAGACTCCGTTTATTCTCTTTATTCTTTGAAAATTATATAGCTAAATATTTATTAAAACCACATTTTCTCATCAGGAGCAGCTGTATTTTTGCCGAACGAATTTGAAGCACAGAATATTTTTGTTCCTTGTAATGTTTTTGTTTACAATCTATAATGTCATAAGTAAAAGATCACTTCTGCCTGCTGCTGCCCTGGGACATATTTTCCCCTCTACTGCAGAATAATCCTCCCCCCCCCCCCCCCCCAAAAAAAAAATGTAGTATTAGCGCTCAGATTTTCGTGACAGTGATAGCCCCTTAGCTGCTAAATCTGCTATCCCATCCATCACTAACATCAAGGAGAGCAAGCATTAGTTTCACTGTGACTTATCTAGGTCTTTAGTAGATCAATACCACTGCTCAGATGTTTCAGACTCTTCCCTGTTAATTCACATTTATCTTTTCATCTGAAGAAGGTAAATTGTCTCACAGAGACACCATGTTATCCCCAGCAGTGGCTTATACTGTTGCAAAGTCAGCATGACCCACATATCTTATCTCAGCTGGAATGCATTTGTCACTGTCACATGGTATGATCATCTGGTAAAATGCCCTAGAAAAGAGGTAAACCTGCAAAATGGCATCACTTTTTTCATTTAATGACCTTATCTGCTTTGTGCTCCTGCATAACCTTTGGTTTAAACCCCTAAAGTAAAGGAAACCTTCTCTTTCCCTTTAATGCTCCATTTTGTCATTTTTATCATGAGCAAAATTGTTGTTCCTCAGCAGTCTTCCTTTCTGCAGTGGTAGGTTGATCAGTAGGTGGTGATACTGAGGCTGAGAACTGAATGGTTTATTAATATGCTCTGTTACCCCTGAGAAAGGGCTGCTGAATTTAACGCTTCACTTGTACAGTTGGCTGCTGGTTTACCTGATGCTTTTCAGGCCCTGGGAGTTTTTAGTGGTGTTAAGGAAAAGGAATGAGAAGCAGGTTGCTGACCAGTAAGCTATAAACAGACTACTGCAAGAATAAATGCTGTGTGAAACAAGGGTTTGATGGTAATTACACAGCTGGGACTCCTTCCTTTCCAAACTGTAGCAAAGTAGACATTTCACTATCTGTTATTCTAAAAACTTGGTAATTTATATTATGGAAAGAAAACGTAAGTATAAACACACTTGACAGTAAGGAGTCTGATGTAGCCGGCTGCAAAACAACTACGTTTTCACTCTGTTCTTTCAGATGTGTTGAGCAACTCTGTCCAAGACTACCAGTGTGGCCTTTAACTGAGAAATTAGCTGGTGCCATCCATCAAGGAGGGCTGCTTTTTGACATAAGGAAAAGGTAGGTCCACTTTAAACACAGGGCTAGACTTGTTTGCAAATAAGAATCTACCACAGAGGCCTCTGCTAGGAGCAGTGACCTGCTGTGACCGCACAGCTGGGAGGAGCAGCAAAAGCAGATGCTTCCCGCAGGTGGAAATGGATCATCCAACGGAGACAACCTTCCTGGGGAGAAGGGGAAGTGCTAGGGCAGAGGAGAGAAGTGCTTGCTCAGATGCAGGTGTGCTACCCACATGCCTGCATGGCCAGCAAGTTTGTAGATGACCACAGTGAGGGGTGCAGTCAGTTCTTTGGTTGGGGGGGGAGGGAGACTGAGCAGCAGCCTCCCAGAAGCTACGGGGAACGTACAGTGGGAGACTGAGACACTAATGAAAGAAGGGGAAGTTCTGGATATAAAGGGAAAAAAAAAACAAAACACAGACAACCAAGCTTTAGGACAGGAGCCTACAGTTCTTGGGGAAGCTCTCACGAAAGAATGAGACCAGCAGTTGTATTTGAATAAGGGGAAATTATTGTTTTCCATCTCTAAGCATTTAATTTAATATTTAATAAAAGGAGTAGGGTAAGGGTTGTTTTTGTGGGGCTTCTAGAGTGTTTTCCCCTCACCAATACACTGGGTGATTGTAACGGCTGAAAGGTTGCTTTCTGTTTGGAGATCTGTGCACACAGTATGTTTTTTGAACTTCACCATGCTTAAGTTATGTTGGAGAAAACTATGATGGCATTAAAGGTAAGAGTTTCTGAACACAAGCTGCCATAAGATTTGAGGATAAAAGAATTATTTGGTTGGATTTCTTTTTTTCTTTACATTATAAAGTCACCGGAGCAAATCTAAAATGTATGGGAAATCAAAGAAAAATGAGGCACTGAGGACTGTAAACCTTCAAGTATTTTCCATACTGGATATTAGTGCTGTGGTCTGTCCCTTCTGTGAAAGAAACACTGCTCATGAATACTGTTGATACACAAATGCAAGCCACCTCTTAATTTTAAGAAGGACTCTGTGAACTGACTTGCTGGTTTCATGTATGTTTTTCAAACACTTTCAATCCCAGTTTTCTCTCCGAATGCCTTGCTCTCCTGGAGACTGGACCTAGGTATACTTAATGTGCTTTTCTTTAGTGTTGCTGTTCCAAATTAAGGACATGTGTGCAAAAATTAAATTTTACATCTGAAGGCTATTTACTGTTGTTTCCAGAAGTAAGGTGAGGGGAGCTGGTTTTATTTTCTTTAGCAAGAAAGAAAATTCCATTTAACTGAGGCATATAGCTGTTCACTCAGGGAGCAGCAGCGAATGCTCGTGGTGTTTCTTGCTGCCCCAGCTCAAGCCCCTGCTCGCAGCAGTTCGGTTCAAGGTGGCCTATAGCTTTTGGGGCAGCTTGTTCTTCTCAAGCGTTGTGGGAGAACATTTTTCTCTTGAAAACGCAAAGAATACCCAAAGCTTCAGAACATATTACACTAATCTTGGGCATTCTAATAAAATATTGGAAATTGATTTAAAATAATGAATGTTCCTATCCCATGTATATACAGATTGAAGCATACCTAGTACAGAGTCAATAGAAACAGTCAAACTTTCTGTTTTACCTGTTTCTGAAAGGTTTTTGTCTTAAGGTTAATTGTTTTAATTATCAAATAGGTGACAATGAATTTTAAATACTATTTTAAATGAGCTTAAATGCCTTTAATCTCTCACTCTGTAGAAAGGAAAATAAAGATGAGAGAAGTGGCAAGAGATAGTTGAGTAGAGTCTGGGTTGATTTCCCTCCAGGAGCAAAGCCATTCGGGAGAAATTCACGGAGTGAGCAGCTGTGTGCTGTATAGGGTGTCTGTGGAGGAGTTAGGGTCAGATTTTCCTTCCTTTTTGCCTGTCGGGTTGGAGCGAGGCGCACTGAGGAGCCTTGCCGGGACTCCCCTCTTGTGGCGAGGGCCATGGCTAACGCTCCGCCACTGCTTCCCCTTGGGCAACCGCCACGAAGGACAGAAATTCCTAATTAAATGCTGCCATCTAGTTCGTGTGCCTAGAGATGCGTGAAGCGAAGTGGTGCTTTAAGTAACACTTCGGGGGGGGGAACCGCTCCGGGAGCCCTCCTGGAAGCCCCCCCGGCCACCATTTTCCCGCGGCCGCCCCGGAAGGCGAGCCCGGTGCCGCCGGTTGCCATGGCGGCGCGGGCGGCCGCGGGCGGGCCCGGCGGGAGGGATGGTGAGCGGGGATGGCGGGCGGGCGGCGGGCTCCGCGGGACTGTGTGAGGGCGGCCCGGCGCCACCGCCTGTCTCTTGTCGCCCGCAGGACGCGGCGGCGGAGGAGCGCGGCGGGCGGCGGCGGGCGGCCCGGCTGTGGGCTGAGGTGGAGCAGGAGCGGCGGCTGGACGAGGCCGTGCGCAGGGTGAGGCCGCGGGGCCGGGGCGGGCGCCGCCTGAGGTGGCTCTGGCAGCGCGCCCCGGGGGGGGGTCGAAGCCCTTCAGCGGCGCGGCCCCGCGGGGCGTCGCCTTCCAGAGGCGAGGTGTGACGGGGGCTTTGCCCCGGCCAGGGCGAGGAGAGGCAGCAGCAGAGGGAGCGGCAGCTGCAGCAGGAGGAGCGGCTGGCGGCTGAGCTGGCCCGGCTCAAGCACGAGAAGCTGAAGGACGAAAAGATGCGGCAGCAAGTGCGGGAGAACAGGTAAACGGGACAACAACAGGTAACGCCGCCTGTGAGATCCCCACCCAGCAGCTGTGCCTGTAAATCAGCCTCAGCCTTGATAACGGTACTGTAGCGTTCAGCCTGTTGCATCTCTCAGGTTTGTTTTTCCTCCTTTAAGTTTGGACTGAGCCTCAGATGCAGCAAGGTTACACTGTGGGATGGTTTCTAGCAATGCAGAGGAGCTCTCAGTACGTTCAAATCCAATAACACACAATTTACTATTTTAGAACAGGCTTTAACTTTTTGAACTTCAAAACTTTTCTTTTTCTGCTCTTATATTTGACCAATGTTTTTTGTTTTTTTTTTTTTTAAATCTAAAATCAGGCTTTTCCCCTGAGAAATAAAACAAATGTCTTGTTAGATAGCAGCATATCTTTTATGTAACTTCCTTTTATTGGTTGTATCACTGGCTTTCCATGTTCTGTGTCTGTTAAATTCCCGGTATATCCTTGTAATATTAAAGAACAGTAAATACAGTATCGTGCTCAGGTTTATTATTTGTACAGATGTCATGGGTGAAAATGTTTATGAAGATAAAAGAAAACCTAAACAAAACTAAAACCATTTTCCTTTTCTGTAATACATTCTAAAGAAACTTACCCAAGGAATTACTTATTTAAGCTTATTTTAAAAGGTATTACCTTGACTTGTTTCAGAATAGTTAGGAGTCTGAGGTAATCCTTGAATGTATCAGTGGAAGAAAGAAGTTCTGTGACTCTTGCAGTGATTACTCTGGGTTATGGACAGGTTATATATTCCATTAAAATGTTTTGGGAACATTCTGGTAACAGTCCTTGTGTATTTCCTGACTACTGTAGCTTTTGTCTCCGGGCTCTGCAGATTTCAGCTTCCTGAGTTGCTGCACATGGAGACACCGATGTTCTCCAGTGGTTTGGCTGGCTGGTTCATGTCAGCACTCGTTTTAACTTTGTTTTCTGTTACTGTGGGCTGAGACTTCACACAAGAAATTTTGTTCTTGACCTCAACAGGATGAGAGATTTAGCATGTATATTTAGAAATCTTTCATGAAAATCCTTGTTTTTCCTTCCCTTTGTTGTACATATGCATGATATGCAATAACATATCTCTAATTTATTTGCACAGCTGAAGAGCATTACCTAATTTCTAGTGAGCTGTTGTGTTACTTAACCTTTATTGTGGATACCATAACAATGATCTACAGTATGAAACAATAATATTCAGTAGCAAATGTTCATCAGTTTATAATTCTTATTGTAGTATTATTTCAAACCAGTTGGTATTTGTGGTTTAGTTTTATTGCCTGTTCAGTGGTTGTCTCATTGTTTCTTTCTGTTTGACAATTTGCGCCATTTCAACTCCTGTAAAGAGATTTGATCTCTCTATATGCTTTCAGTGGTGGAAGTTTCTTTTTTTTTTTCCTATAGATACCTTGTAATAGGATAAACTTCTTTTTTTTCCCCCTAGTCTTGAACTTCGAGAGTTAGAAAAAAAACTGAAATCTGCTTATATGAATAAGGAGCGAGCTGCACAAATTGCTGAAAAAGAAGCTATACAGTATGAGAAAATGGTAATTAGTTTCAGTGTATGCTAGCATGTGGTTTTCAACCAAGTCCTATTTTGTTCTCAGAAGCCACCAGAGTGCTTTAACTTTTTGTGTAGATTGTATTAAAAATTCTCTTTGAGACTGGCCTTTTTATCTAGGTTATTGCTAAGTTTAAGAATTCAGTGTATACTGAAATCTGTTTTTTGCTGTGGAGAACTAACTAACTAACATAAGGAAAAGGCTTGCTTTGCCACGACAGTTGAAGGAGTAGTGAATTAAGCTGTGTGAAGGGATATAGTTTTCGTTTCACTGTTTTTGTAATGTTTACTGAAGTTGAAACTATTATACACAGTTTTGTGGTGAATCTTTATCTCAGAAGCAGATGGTTGAAAATGCTTTTTACTGTTATTAAACATAAACACATCTGAGTAACTTCAAAAAAAGAACTGTGAGATTTTATATACATGCAGGGTAATGTTGGTGATCAGGCAGGTGATTCTAATTAAATCTTGCATCAAACATTAATGTAAGTAAATTGAGTAATTAAGTAATTAAGTAAATCCTCACTTTATTGAGGATGTTCTGCATAGTTCTATTACATGCTGGTCACTATGCCATTGTGAGCTAGTTTCACTCATATTGTGAATGCTCTACTTGGTCTTAGTAAAATATATGGCTTCCTTGAATTATTGATAGTTCTTCTCAAGTTGTTTCAATAATGGGGATTCACTTCAAGGGTTCTACTTAAGGCATGAAGCATATTAAGGCACTATATGTGTTTGTGTAGAGGGAGAGAGAAAGATTAAGGTGGAAAACATTCTATTTCTGTAATGCAATATAATTCCTTTTATATGCTGTGTAATTTTTCACTGCAAGTGGAAGCAAAAAGGAATCTTAATTGCTTTTTTTTCCCCCTTGTAGAAACGTGATGCTGAAATAGCCCAAAAGATGAAGGAAGAGTATGAAAGGGTAGCAAAAGAAGAAAGTTCTGCAGAACTAAGGCGAAACAAGGAGAAAATAATTTATCAGCAAGAACTGGAGAAACAGCTTGAGGAACAAGAGAGGAAGAGGCAGGATGCTTATGAAGAGTTTCTAAAAGAGAAACTCATGATTGATGAAATCGTAAGAAAGATCTATGAGGAAGACCAAATGTTAGTTACTTTGAATTTTTATTATTTTTTAATTTAAGCTTAAAACTGTGTATAATTTATGTAGAAAATTTAACTTGTATATGCCTATTTCACAGGCCAAGGGCCACTTCAACAAATTACTCCTATTCAAGAAAGATTCTCTTGGTCCCACTTTAGTAACAAGAGAGACACTTGCATAGATTTTGCTGTGTAAGAGCCAGAATATTCTTGTCATTTCAGTCAATCTTGTCTTGTTCCCCAGATACAAAATCCTTTTTTTTTTTTTTTCCAAGGAGCACTTCCATTAGGCCTGTCATGCTGGAAATGGCTGCGTATCACAGATTTCTACCTTGCCTTGTGTCCTAACCTTTTCGTGATACCTGTTAAAAATGAAATATGTTGTGTGCCATGTCTTAGGGCCATGGATAAGAAAGGAGTTTTCTGAGGGCATGATGGTAGTGGGGTGAGAGTTTAGTATAAATGAATAAAAAGGTTCAGGGCTTGTGAGGCATTTGGGCTATTGGGCTTCCTTCTCTCTGTCGTTTGGATGGAGCATGTATAAAATAGAGTAGTAGTGAGCACCTGTGTGTTCAGTCTGTCCTGAAGGAAAGGTATTAAACATGAAATTCCCTTTCCGGGGTAGTTCATTAATTAGCATTTATAATTCAGGCATCTGATTTCCTGCTGAATGGGTAAGGAGAGTCATCTAAATCTTCATCTCTGGAATATATTGTTAATGATGAGCATCTGGTGTGTTTAATGTCACTGCGGTATGTTAGATGGCTATTTATGCACTTTCACTTTTTTTACCTTATACAGGGAAAAACAACTAAAGTTAGAAAAAATGAGAGCAACTCAGATGTATATCGATGAATTTAAAAAAGAACAAGCTATCTGGAGGCAGAGGAAACGGGAAGAAATGGAAGAAGAAAATAAGAAAATCATGGAGTTTGCCAACCGTCAGCAACAAAGAGAAGAAGATCGGATGGCTAAAGTTCGAGACATGGAGGAGAAAAAGCAAAGACTTCAAGCCATGGTATTGAAATTTGATATTATAAAAGAGTACTTTGTATATTCTTGTCTTTTGTTGAGAAGTCCTTCCTTCTTGTAATAGATTGCCCAGAATCTACAGAGGGAACAACAGAAGCGTGAAGAACTGGAACAACTACGACAAGAGCTGTATATGGAAGAACAAGCCGAGACAGAGAGGAAGAAAGAGATGGTAAGTGTTGGCAGGTAGCTGCAGTAGTACCTCTGTACAGGGTGGGGGGAGATTCGCTTTGCTTGGACTTCTGCAGATACTCGTATGAATGTTTTGGCACTTGGCAGGTAACACTTTTTTACATGTAGTACGTGTCCTCTGTGCATAAACTGTTTAAGGGAGAATGCAAGTGGAGAGGAGTACTGCAACTTTGCCGTTATTCCTGTAGAAGATTTAGGTTAGTAGAGCTGGTCTGGATGAAACTTCAATAAAATAAAAACAGAAGTATATATGCATAAAAATATAAAATGTATGTATTACTTTACGGGTAAACTAGCCTAATTTAAACAGACAGGATATGGAAATTTTAAGAGAAAGTGAAACCACTCGAATTGCTGATCTGAAAAATAAGTAATAAGATGAAAGCTGGGGGACAGTATTTTACCCAGTATTCCTCTGTCTGTTCATTTCTGATGTCTGTGTGATGGAGCAGCTCTCCTTTAGTCTCTAGGAATTGTCACTACAGCCACAACACTTACAGAACCTTTTTTTGAGAGTATATCCCATATGCAGTTCCTTCTGCATCTGAGAATGCTCTTCAAAGGCCAAGTAACTCCTGTTTCCAAAACTTTTCTTCTAACAATGCTGGCAGGGTAATTAATGGATTTTTTATTTTTTTTTTTTCACTTTGGATTTTGCAATGTCTCCCATGTTCATCGTGACTTTGGGATGGTTTTGGGGGACTTCCTTAGGCCCATTTTAGTATGTGAGCTGCCTCAAAGCAAAAGCTCAGTTCTGACAGGTTTATTAAATTAACTGAATTTTTTAGAATCATAGAATGCTTTGGGTTGGAAGAGACCTTAAGGATCATCCAGTACCACCTCCCTGCCATGGACAGGGACATCTCCCACCAAACCAGGCTGCTCAAAGCCTGTCCAGCCTGGTTTTGGGCATTGCCAGGGTTGGGGCAGCCACAGCTTCTCTGGGCAGCCTGTGCCAGTGCCTCACCACCCTCACAGGAAAAGAGTTTCTTCCTTAATAGCTAATCTAAATCTCCCCTTTTCTAGTTTAGGGCTGCCACCCCTTGTCCTGTAACTACACCTCCTGACAGAGTCCCCTGCAGCCCCCTGTAGGTACTGGCAGGCTGCGGTAAGGTCTCCCCAGAGCCTTCTCTTCTCCAGGCTGAATGACCCCAGCTCTCATTCTGTTGTTTCTTCTTTCTGTTCTGGCACAAAGTGTCTCTCTCCAGCAGACTGTATTTCCTAAATGTACCATGCCAGACAAGCAGTTTGTATGTAAACTCTAGTTTTTGGAGGAAAAATTCCATCTTTTGAATGTCCTTTGCCATCCCTAAGGTATTTGTTTTTCTTTGAACCAGGAAGACAACTGAAGGTTTAGGATACTCTCATGGTCCCCTTTATACATTGATTTTATCTTAAGAAGAAGCATGACAGTAACTTGCAAGCTCAGGTTTAAGCGAAGCAGTTTAGCTGCTTGCTTTTTGCACACCTGTTTGCTTTTTCCTGCCTACTCTGACTCTCATCAGATTTTAGATAAAATCCAACACAGATAATACGTAACGCTGTTATTCCCAGGGAGCTGTGCAGGAGCAATGTCTTGTTGACCCACTTCATGCTTGTGGAAAATTTTTTTTTTTCTTTGACTTAATTTTGACAGTCTTAAGACACTTGCCAAACTGGTTAATACTGGAGACCACTGTTAAATATGGAATGCTTGCTCCACTCATGTATGCTAGAAGGTAGCAGCTACAGTAATTTTTATCTGAGACAAATCAGGTAGATTGGCTGAAGTTTAAATTTTCTGAAGTATTTTCCATAAAAAGCATTTTATTGAATTTCCTTTATAGGCAGAAATTGAAAAGAAAATAAGGCAACGTCTAGACTTAAAGCAAACATATGAAGAGCAATTTGCTTTAAAGAAGATAGCGCGACAGGCTATGCAAGAAGAGGAAGAAGCCTTCAGACAACAGATGTTGGCCAAGCTTGCAGAGGATGATCGCATTGAACAGATGAATGCTCAGAAACGAAGAATGAAACAGCTTGAACACAAAAGGGCTGTGGAAAAACTTATTGAAGACCGTCGCAGGCAATTTATTGCAGATAAAGTAAGAGAAATGTTCAGTTTTGCTGTTGGTCTGAGCCAAAACATTTTAATATGAGAATACTTTCTCTATCCTATGCAACAAGGCTGTTGTTACAAGGGAAAGGTGACAAGGGAATCACAGAGAAATGGCTGAGGGCAGAAGGTGGAAAGCAGGCCTTTGTTTTAGTTTGCTGACAAGAAAGAAGTCTTTAGAGACAACTTATTACAGCTGAAAAGGTTAAAGCCTATAACAGCTGGAGATCCTGGTGTACTTGACATGCTCTGCAAATAGCTCTTCAAGAGCCATATGATCAGTGACACAACTGTTGCCCATTTCAGCCTCCTTCATCAGGCAGTACTACTCATGATACGTAAGAAGGGGAAAACTCAGCCTTGATTTCAGATTAAGTATTTCCAGGTAGCATCTGAGGAAGAAAAGAAAAAGCTTGACATAAACTCAAAACCACCCATGGAATGCTACGCTGTAGTTTTCAGACTGCATGCACAATATGAACTGCAATTTCTAATCATCGGCATAAGAACACAGGCCTGGTTTTCCTTTTCCTGGACTAGAGCAGTGAAGCAGGAACAGACTAAATCAGCTGAGAGTCCACAAGGAACCAGACCTTGACTTACCAAACTTTTTCAAAGGACTTTTAAATAATTTAATTATAGCCCAAGTCTTGGTATTCACTCTTCTATTTTGTCTGAGACTTTTCTTGTAGTTACACTTACTGTTTAAATAGTCCCTTTTTACGTATGCTTTTTCATCACTTTCAAACTAGTTTTCCCATGACCAGGAGTTAAAATTAATTAAAAGTACTAAATTTACTTCATAAAAGAAGTCTCCATAAGTATAGTATATATTGGTGGGAAATAAATGTTGACAGAGCTGACACTCAGTGGTTAAGAAAACTTACTTCTTTATTGTAGGAACGTGAACTCGAAGAAAGGCAGTTAGAGGAGAAAAGACAAGAAAACATTCGTCTAATTGTTGAAGAAGAGAGACAGAAACTCCTGAAAGAGCACGCATCTAAATTACTGGGTTATCTTCCTAGAGTAAGTAAACTGTATCTGAAATGCTTTAAATGATTTTTTTCTATAAATCACTTTTCTCTGGGCTAGTTCAAGGTAAGGTTGTACAACTGTATAAATTACCTGGAGTCAGTGGATGTCCTTCTTGTGTCAGCTCTCACGTGTTCACCTTTTCTGAATTAGGCAGCAATGAAAAATACTCCTTATTGCCATATCACTGCTTGCCATATTGATGCATACGGAGTTTGTTGAAAGCTTCCCCAGCCCTTTTTGCACATACAAAGCTTTTTTTGGGATATGGAATGTAAGTTTTTAAGTAGGGCTCTTCCAGCTAGAAACATGTCCACTGTATCTAAAAGCTGATATGATTAAAAATGCCCGTTTCACTCAAAATGGATAAACAACAAAGTTCTGCCTCATTTTGAAGCCTCTGATATACAGCTGTAATTTGTAATGTTTTTTGAAATACTGCAAGATACATTCTGTGGGTCATGTGCATTTTGAGAAAAGGAAAAAGCTGCTTTTTTAGAAAAAAACAATTTTATCAAAAACTCCAATAAGATTTAATTAATGTTTCATGTACTGGTGTTAACTTTTTTTCTTCAGTATGACCACTAGAATTAGGGTTAGAGACTTTAATTTCTGGGTTCCAGTCCTTCCCTTCCCCAAAACACACTTAGTCTTCCAAAGTATAATTCCTGTTCAAGTTGTTCAAGTATCACCTGATTTCCGAAATAATTTTTGTGTAGGCTAATTTCAACACAACGTGATAAAGACCCATCTTACCCAGTGCCTCTTTTCAATGTAGTTGCTCGGCAACTCCTGGTTAGCACCGAGTGCAGCAATTAGAAACTCATCCAGTGAAGTTTGTTGATGGTTTTCAGAGCTGTTTGTTTTTAAAGAGAGTACTGGCACTATGGATAGATAAAAGCTTTACCACTTACACAAAAAGATTCATAATCATCTTTTTAATTTGTTTTATCTTCTACATGTGTTTCTTTCCCCTTATTGCAGGGAATACTCCAAGGTGAAGATGACATTAACATGCTTGGTGAGGAATTCAGGCTGGCTTACCAAAAGAGAAGAGATAATGCATTTTCTGAAGAGGGATGAAATTTCCACCATCTCCTCTCCTGGTTTGCCACTAGATGTCATCTGACTTCTAATGAAAATTTCTGTTGATGTTAACAGCGAGGAGCTCCTTTTTATTGTCAAAAAGCCTCCATTTTAAGACTGGAAGATCTGAGGGACAGCGACTTTTATTTAACTGTGTATTGTAGTTGCATTTTTCACCAATAAACTGTTAGGAAGTTGAGTTATTATTTGTCAGTTACATCGGACAATTGAGTTTGGGGTTGAAGCAATGTTTAAAGATGTTTTCTCTAGCAACTGAACAGAAACTTGAGACCCTGTAAATTCAGATGGATATTTCATAATAGACTGTAACATCCTGATGCACTATTTTTGGTTTTAATTTAAATATTTATCTATATTTGCATATAACACTATTAAAACACTACTTTAAATATTTCTCCTTAGAAATGGTACATCTGAATTACATGTTCAGTGCTAGCTCAATTTACTTTGGTGGTACAATCTAAGGGAAAGAAGTTTCGTTGTGAGGTCAGAATCACCTTATACTATTACTTGTGCACATAAACTTACTGTTTGTTTGTCGTGTTCCTATTAGGTTGCTGTGTGGGAGGAAAACATTGAAATAGCTGAGGTGTGACAAAGATTCATGCAGCCAGGACTGACCTTTATTGCTCCCATTCATTAAGGCACACAGCTCATCTACTCACATTTTTATCTAGTTCTTGATTATAACGATGACATAATAAAATCTTCAAGGAGATAGTGCCAGTAGGGCGCCTGTGAGTATGGAGCCATCACTCCTGACAGTATCCATAAGCAGCAGCTGATGGCCAGGGAAAGAGGCAAGTTTTTTTACTTTGACTAAATAAAGTAGAAATTTTGAACAATACAATTCTTTCAGATCTATAGAATCAGCCTGGACATTGAGGGGCAATTCTCAGGTATGTTTTTGCCACTCAGGCTGTAAGATGAACAACTAAAACAAGTTAATGAATGTTTTCACAGAAGAGCTGTTAATGGTTGAAAAGGACATGACATTTTTGTTAACTTGTTTCCATTGCAATAAGGAATTTTCTAAGACTAAACGCTGACTTCTCTTTGGACTGAGCATTACCTTATCTAACAAACATTTCTGAATACTAAAACAAACAAAAATGATAACAGTTCCCTTGTTGGAATCTTGCTTGCATTCTCAGTGCCTCTGCTCACCACAGAATGGACAGTTTGACTTGAAGCTTAGCAATTTGTATTTCAAGTGATACTGCAACATAAGCTAGCAGGCTTCTAAGAGTTAAATAATTTCAACATAAGCAGAATCAACAAAAAACAAATCACTGTGATTTATTAACAAACATTTTTAGTGCCAAAAGGCTGTCTCATCTGACTTGTATTTCAAACAGGTTTTTTTTTTATTGAATCAGTAATTTCCCCACTCAAGAGCTTTCATGAATTCCTCTTCAGTAAAAGAAAGCATCTTAGCAGCTTCAATGTGCATCTCGAAAGAAATAAAAGAAATCAGGATCAGAAGACAAGCCAGTGCGAATGACTAATATAAAGTCCTGCGTTACTGAGATAGCTGAAAGGGGTTTCAAATTTGTTCATATTTCCTGCAAAATTCTCAGTTTTTAGTGTAAGGATATTGCGGTTAATTTTATGCTAAATAATGCAACCTCACCTCTAGTCAAGTGGGATCAGTAGTTTTTCTTAGTTCTTTGTATTACTTTAAAAATACGTTTTAACAGGGCACGGAAATTACCAGAAAAGTGACACCTCCCGTGACCTCTAAAAAAACATCTGAGAAACTGTGTATACGTTCTTTCAAGCTGATCAATATTCAGGTAACTTTAAAGCTAAACACGTCATTGATTCATTCACAGTACTAATGCTTCTAAAATGCATGATTTAATGTTAAGTGAGTATTTTAGCAAAGGAATACAGTACCAGTAACAAAGAGCATAATCAGCATAAAACAAAGCATAACATTAATACACCTTGAGAGAGATCTGGAGCAGACTACTCTGTTATATTGCCCTGTATCTGGGGTTCATTATGGCATGTCTATATAGGATATAGCATATTATATAGGATACTTTAAATGGCACCTTGAGTGGAACAAACAGAACTTTAGAACTTATTAAAAACTTATTATTTTCTGTTTAAAAAAAATAATGTAATTGCTTGGAAGAACGTCATCCAGGTGACTGTGGAGAGAACAAGTACTAAATGGCTTACACATTTGCACAGAGCTGCCAATCAGAAAGGCACAGCAGCCAGGAAGCCCTGCAAGCTCACTGGGTTGCAGCTGCTGTCACAGCATCTAGCACAAATATGCCACATCCCCACACTGCAATAGCCTCTCTTTACTTACCAACACTGCAAGTGGCAAGGACCATGTCCTATCTAAGCAGTTCTCATTCAGAATGCACTTTTTAATAGAATAGCTATGTTTTAAAGAACAGGAAACAGGTCTGGTCTACAAGGTATCTGATTTTTTTCTCACTATACAGACACATCCTCAGTTCCAAACAACAACAAAGAAGCCTAAGCAATTCCCACTGATAGTGTAGCGCCCTCCAGCTCTGCAAAACCCAGACGAACTCCCTAATTTCCTTTTAAAACTAGGATTTTCTATGAGTTTCTCTCTTTCAAAGCAAGCAGAGAATGGTCTAAAGAGTCCAGTTTGGACACCAACACCTCCTTGCTGCCAGCTGCAACTTATCCTACTACTTTGTGTAGTTTTTCCTTTATTTTTCTTCATGTGGTAGCAGCATATCATAGCATATCCTCACCTCCAGACTATCTATACCTGCTTTGTGCATCTCACTATACATGAATACTACACCAATGACCCAAACTAGGTTTTCCTCATTAATTCAACAACAGGTTGATGTAAAATCAACCTGAAGGTCTTCTGGTGATTATGCATATGGGCCTCAGGTGAGTGTTAGTGCACTTCCCAGCTCCTGCTGCTGCCAGGTATAAAAGGCAGTGTCAGTACCATTTTCTTTCAGGTTTTTCTACTTGTTGCCTGTTCTGAAAGGTCAACAATTAACAACATCCTTTTTCTGTGAGTACATAATGTTTTTAATAACAGAAGATAAGTTGTTTTCTCTACTATCTGCAGTTCTCTTATGGTATTCATATTTTTAAAAAAATGTGTTAAGTTTCGTTTTGTTTTTTAAGTATTTTAAACTATTTTTTTAAATGTATGGTTTATCTGATACTATGTTTCTGGCTCAGTCAAACAGAAACACTGTACCTGGACACACGTTTCAGTGACACGCATTTCATGTTCCAGAGGACAGCGAGCTAGCTCATGGAAACGATCTCTTGAGTGAATGCTACATTTTGTTGTTGGTGTTTTCAAAATAACATTAAAGAGCTAGAAAGGCCAGACAAGGCTAAGCTAGTAGTATTTCTGTTAGATGAATTCCCAAGATTTCCTCTTAATTCTGTTACTGCCAGAAAAACTTTTCTACTGCAAGTACATGAGCAGTCCCAGTTGTTCTTATTCCAACTCTCTGTACTCCTTTGTCCCGTGTTGGAGATGTATTCCAAATTCAAGGGTGTATTTCCCCACTGCAGTTCTCCGTTCTTGGTATAAGTATGTGCGTGTTGTTTTATCAAGTTGCCACTTCATACAGGGCTGTTCTTTCTCTCTGGAGGCTCAACAACTTCACAAGTGTTTACAAAGTGTCTGGTGATCACTGCAGCACTCAGAAGGGCACATATTCTACTTTCTTACTGTAAAGGCTAGTCCTTCTAAGATCCTTCTGCTCAACAAGTCGCCATTACTTGCTTTCTTTAGCTGACAGCTGTGGTTTGAGTGCAAAAAGCAGAGCCTTAACTCTATCACTGATACTTTCTTCCTACTACACTCTGCAGTTACTGGGATTGATAAAGATTTCAGCAGTGAGCAGAGTGAACCGCTCTACCAGGTTAAGAGCCTATCTAGAGAACTCTGAAGTACAGAGCTCTGCAAACCTTCCATGCAACATCAGAAGGAAAACCAATACAAGTAACAGCACGTGAACCTAACGCAGTCCTTTGAGGGAGAAGTGTGACAGAACTCTGAGACCTACATGCATTGACAGTAAGGGGAGAGACTTTCTGATTTGGGCAACATCTCTTAATGTATCTTCCTTTCAATGTAATTTGCTTTCATGAAAACCTACGGGTTCTTTCAATTTGTTCCATGAAAGCTCATTTGATAGGTGTATGCTGAAAATGTATTTGGTATTTGGACACTGCAGAGTGGATAAACGCATTTTTCAAAGTGTTTCAGGAACAGTCTTCACCAGTGATTCCATTCAACATGAATTTTTAGCAAGTATTTTACTACCTACTCTATATTCAATTTCAGCTTCACATACTAAAGAAAGCTGAAAGCAGAAGCACCTGTCCTTCTTTCTATGCCCTCAGAGAGGAAGTGAAGGAGATATTAAAAGAATATACAAACAAATGACTTCCTAAATAAGGCTAGGTGCCAGTGCCATGTAGACAGGAAACCAATGTGGCCACGTAGATGTCATTGTGACTCCAAGAATGCATGACATTCCAGCAGTTAGAGAAGGACGTAGATCAACTCCCATCCTTGACTCTAGTAAATTCACACCTAGGCTAAATACTCTTCCCCTCACCCACTCCTCTTTTTTTTTTTTTTGTGACACACAGGGAGATCTGCGCTTAGGCAGATTTGTACATGTGTACAAAGAAGCAGTATTAATTGCAAAGGATGCACTTTGAGAATCCAGGAACAATGTGAGTCTGAAATGTAATGCCTTAATCCTGGGCGGGTGCTATATTATAGCTGATGACATACAAGTAATATGCTGGAGGAAAAAACAAAAAAAAAACCTCACATGCTAAAATGGATTCTATTGATACAGCACTGCAGGGAGCTGCTGTTACAACCTGAACAATATTTATTCTTGAACATATATTCTTTGTCTCCAAGCTCGTCAGTAGTAATCTTTTTACCATAACAGGATATGTTCCAAATTAGGAATGGAGTCAATTCAAAAGAGGACCAGCTTTTACTTTAAAGAAAAACGTTGGCAACATGCTGCTAATAAAAGCTGCTGTTCCTTTGTATTCCAACTTCCTGGTCTTGGGGCTCTAGCTTACATGTATGTGAGTATGTAACTTGACAACAGACAAATTCAGTTAAGAGTTATCTGAAATACAACAGCATTTGTGTCCTTACCTTTTGTCTCTTTAAAATATCAATTAACTTGAGCTGCTTTTTGAAACCTGCAATTAGCTCTCCTTTTTCTTTCTGCAGTTTCTTGTTTTCTGTTTTTAATTCTTCAATTGCTTTGAGTTCTTGGTTAACTACATCCTACCATGGGAAGAAAATGAGAAATAGATTATTCAAGTGAAGCTTTAACCAGAGAAACTTGGCATAACGTAACAAAATGACAAATAGTAGCCACAAATGACATTTCAGAAAAGCAAATGGATGCATCAAAATTAATAATGTGATTTGCCTGTGTTTTTATTAGTTGTGTATGTGTACTTCCCCCCCTTTCTAGGGACACCTATTATCCAAAAAAAAAAGGCAAAAAAAAATGAGATGCTATCATTTTCTTCTATGCATTTCTTCCTCCAGCAGTATCATCAGAGATAAGTTATCAAGCCCCTTGATGACTTGCTGTTAGTTACTTATGGGACAGTCTGTAAAGGACACCGTACTTCCAAAGCTATTTGTCTCACGTCAGCAATATTGAGTAATCACAAATTGAAACTTTCTTCTGAACCACTGTACCTTGTTACTTTGCTTCAGTTTATTAAGCTCCACTTTATATCTTTCTGCTTCTTCCAAGGCCCTATTTAAGCGGACCTCTGTTGCACTCTGACTGGTTGCAGCCTGCTTTTGAACACGCTTTAAATGCTCTAGTTCCTATGTAAGAAGAAAAGGTTAAAAACAAACGTTATGAATCATGGTATTTTAATGAATACCACACAACCAAGACATTTGCAGCAAGGCTCATCCCTGAGAACTTAACAGACTTCTGTGGCCTGTGAATAGAATCAAAGACCATTAATACCTACTGTTATCCCCTTTTTCCCTCCTCCTTTTAAATCCTGAAAAGTCTTTCTAAGCTCTCTTTTAGCATTCTCTTAGAGTATTGTGGAGCTGATCATGGAAGTCCACAGGATTGATACAGGAGACCACTGCTATGCCCAGTCTGAAAAATGGGGAAAAGTGCTGCCATGTTCAGGCTGTGGCAGACTTCAGAGCAGTGGCTAGTATTCGCAACTGCTTCTTTACCTCTTTTTCTCACAGCTTATCACATGTAATTACAAACTAGAAGTTAAAACAACCTACCCTAATGCCTCAGGGTAGTAACTATTTCATCTAGCAGAAAATAGTTCATCCAGTGTTTATGGCAACAATCAAAACAGTTCCCTCTTATCTCTGATGAGGGTATTTCATAGTGCTGTAAGTGGGGAAATAAGAAAAAGAGACCAAGCTGAGAAACAGAGTAATGAGATTAAAGATCAGAGAATACAGATAAAAGACAAAGTAGAAGAAATAAACAATTCTGGCAGAAAGAGCACATCTTGTCATTTGTGAAAAAGAAATAGATTTTTTTTTTTTAAAGTGTATCAAATTTTGTGTACAGAAAGATTATTTTAAAACTGAGGTTGGGGGAGCGTCTTATTTTTAACCCTTTACTCTTAGGCTCTCATGTTCTGAGCAGTTGCTCCATTTCCTTAATTCCACACAAGCTCTTGTGGTGGTTACTTTAAGTAACCATCAGTTATTCAAGAAATACACTTTAGTATGCTTATATTGCACCCAGGTACACATCTAATTGACAAGTATAACCAAAAAAAAAAGATAAATTATGACTGGACTGGGTCTTTCTGGGAAGCTGGAAATCTTCTCCAAAATGGATGAAGAGGAGAGCAAGCTGCATCTCACTAACTCTTCAAAATGGTATTGGTGAATCCACCTCCCCAGCAGCTGGCAAAGATGTTGCTTCAACTTTTTTTTTTGTTGTTGCTACCCCCATCCCCCATAAAACACTTGAGAGAAGATGTTTAACATTGATTTTCTTCAAGGCAAGCCATAAAATCCCTGCACAAAGTCTTGAAAGGATTAAGAGCAAAAGTTTGATGTTTCCCTAAACTTTATATCACATTATAACTAATTTGAATTAACAAGTGGGAGAGAACATAGGGGAAATAATATTCTTCCAACCAGGCAGCAAACAGAAAATGGTGATAATGCTTATTAGATCACCTAGATGAGGGCAGATGCTTAGAAGATAAGAGTCAGGGAGACCAAAAAGCAGAAGAATGAAACAGAAATAAATTAATTACAATGTTTCAGGTAAACTGTGAAAACTTGGTGAAACTCTTTGCCTAGGTACATACAAATAAAGCAACTGGGAGATTAATGAAGTTGCTTAAATTGCTGAGAATCTAAGCAAACTTGGAATAGAGACCATATTTTGGATATGGTAGCTGTACAGCAGATGTGAATCAAATTTTAATTGCAATGGATGCATCATAAATGGTGGGATAAATTTTCTAACTGTGAATATGCAAGAACCAACATACATTTTCCTGACAGAATCAACAATCAAGGTACATACCTGAATGAACTCAAAATCTCCAAGTATCTGCGCAGAAACTACACACAAGCTTAGCACATTCTAGTTTTAAAATGCCAGGACTTCGTAACACTAAGACGAAAGAACACCTATACAGTTGCATAGTGCAGTACAATGGAGGTATAATGAGGCTTTGTTAAGCTACAGGTTGCGTTCTGCTTTCCCCACATTCCTGACTGTAACATTCCTGGTTACATTACATCCATTATACAATAGCTATATGTAGTACAGGATTTTGATGTCACCCTCTCTAGCTCTCAGTAATTAAAGAAAAACACATGCTGCTCTTCGATGAAGTTCCAAACAAACAAAGCTGGATATACAGGACCATCTGCTGTAACTAGGCACGTATACAATTCTGCACATGCGGCCTGCAGGAGGAGCCAGGTTAATTTTGATACATCCAAATTGGAGTGGCTGATTTTCAAATAGTCCATTTCAAAGAATAAAGAGACATCCTTTCCTTTACCTGCAGAGGATACTAAAATGACCTGCAGTTTTTGTTTTTTTTTTATTTATTTATTTTTTAAAAACTTCCACCAGGTTCTGCAATTTACCACAAGAGCATCATTAATTTTTAGCAACTACAATTAAAACCAGAAAAATACAATTTCCCTGTATTTTCAAGATTTCTTTATGGCTTTGACAGCAGTCTCACAAAAGATGGCTTTGTCTCCTGCAGATCTTTCACACAATTTCAAAATACAGAATATATGATAGTAGAAACAGAAGAAAAACAATTAACAAAATGTCATTTCTTCTTTCTACAAAGTGATTAGACCATATTAAGATACATTTTCTAAGACTGTTACCAAAGATTGAAATGCTAATGAGATCTTTGGATACTAATCTGCAAAACTAGCCCGAAGAGGGTGATTCGATGCTTTTTTTCCCTTTCATGAGATAAATGAGACTAATATTTGCAATACCTTTCCTAGTGCAATGACCTCTTGTTGTAATCCTTCACTTTTTTTGTTTGCTTCTTGTGACAACATTTTGTACTTTTCATTCTGTGACTGTTGCACACTGATTGTTCGTTGCAGCCTAGTCTTTTCTTCCTCGGTATCCTTAAGACGAGACTTTAAACTCTGATTTTCATCATCCTGTTTGACAGCAATTAGCAAAAACAAAAAACAAATTAAAATGTTGCAAGGAAGCAGTAGAATATTGTGATAGTAATATTTCGTAAATAAAACTACAAGTATATATATTGTAGATATAATCATTTTTTAAATGCTGTTATTTTAAAATTTTTAGATGGTGATAGATTTCACAATGCTTTGTAGACAAACTAAAGAAACAACAGATCATGAGTTTACCAGAGCAGTACTTCAAAAAATATTTTTCTGCTCATCTAATTTTCTGCAGTCTTTAAGTTAGGACTGTCTTGTAGTAATACATAAAACATGTAGTTTCTTGTAACACAAAGGCTGTGAGAACCATCAGAATGTTACGGAATTATACGAATAACAATGGCACATAGATATTTCATGACATTTTTGTGAGAATAGCTAAATGCACACAATTAGGAAAAAATCTAGCAAAAAGAAGGGCATATAATTACTGATAATCCATCCTTTATGTTTTAAAGGATTACCTGGTTTTGACTTAAAAGCAAGCTAATGTTCCAGGATGCATCAAGTATTCAAATCCAGGTTTCTCTCAACATAAAGTGAATCCTGTACTAGCTTCATGACCTACTGGCAATTATATCCCACATTAAGCCTTATAATTTAAAGGCATTTTACATTTATAACCTTTTAAACACTGCAAGTGAATACTAATGTAGGTTATTTCAGAGCTACGTTATGCCCTTCATTTCTTTACCAAAAACATAAGAAGGCATGCATAGAAAGTGGAGTTTCTATTAAAAAAAAAAAAATAATAATAATCAAGAGTCTCTCCTACCCTCCCAGCCCACAGCAATACATGCTTCTCACATAGGAAATGGGTTCTTTATCTTGAGTGTTTGGTGACCATATGCACCTCAGATATTCCCATTCTTTATATTTAAAACAGGTTTCCTTATAATAATTGTACTGTGAATTGAAGCAAAACTCACAGTCTGTCTCGAGGCTTTGCAAGTATGTTCTTCCTGAGGCCTTCAGAATGTAATAAAGTTATTTTCACACCACAGAAACTACATACAGAGTCGTATGGAAGCAGAAGTAGGTATGAGGTTTTCTCCTGTCATCTGCTAGAGTAACTGAACTCCATAGTATTTTTGTCATGGAATGCTGAAGTTCTATAGCTACTGACAAAATGGTGTTTAATCTGAAAGTGAAAGTGTCTTGAAAAGCTGATGTTACAGCCTTTTTCTGATCACAGCATAGATATATTAAAATGCCAAAGTAACCACATTGATAAATATTAAACATGGTCTCAAGTACAGATATAAAATATCAAAATCTAATTCCTTCTACAGATTTTCTCTAGGTACCTATCTCCAAAACAATTTTAATATCATCCTGCTTCTTAACTCTCACTCAAAACTTTGAGAGAAAAAAACATGGGTGGTTTGGCATGTGTTCTGAATGTCATCATAAATTTGGGCCTGGGGAAAAGGAGGAAAAAAACATTCTGAAGTTAAGAGACCACAGTCAACAATAATGTAATTGTAAAAAAAAAAAAAAAAAAAAAGGCAAGTTAGTTCAAAATCCTTGCTTGGTTCCAAATGCATGAAAAAGAGGCGATCCCTCTGGCAGACAGACAAGAACTATTTCAGGTTTTACCTTTCTAGAGGTGTTCGGAGCGTCACCTGAAAGTATATTGCCAGTGTAGATCAAAAAACTCTTTTGTAGTACACTGTAGCAGAAAGATACCAGTACAGTGTCCCCTTTCCTTAAATTCATAAGGTGATTCACTAAACATGTAGTCCCAAATGCAGTCCTTCACAGCAAGAATGGTGTCCTGAGAATGGGACAGCCTGATTTCCATTTTGATTACAATATTCCACTGAAAGTGGATCACAAATGAGCTGTTTCCACTTTTTTTTTTTTTTCCTCCTACCAAGGACCCCCAGAGTACCTGACTAAATTTCACAAACTTAATTTACTTCTCATTCCATCCCTCTCCTTCTTTTACCCATCTCTGGGCACTACTCATCTTCCCTCTGTATATCATGGGTCTGTATTTTGACTCCTCGCAGCACCGCAGTGTCCCTGCAGCTGGGGCACATCTTCAGTACTAATCATTCATTTCTGTCTCAAATTCTTCTTCATGAAGTATGCTTTAAAAGCTTATAGTTTAAGATTATGTTTATACAGAAATTACTATTCTTGATTCTTTTTTTTTTTTTAATAGAACCTGAGTTCTTTACTAATTGAAGAGAAAAAAAGGAAAAATAGAAAGCCTAATTAAAGATAAAGGGATTCTATTCTGATTATTTGTAAAAGGGGGATGTACTCTATTTCTACAGATAAGAAAACTCAGATCTTACCTTTTTCCTGCATTCACTCGCTAAGCTGTCCAGCTCTTCCTGCATAACATGTAGCTTGGCCTTAAGAAACCTGATTTGAGCTTCTGTGAACATAAAAATTTATTATTTAATACCCACAAGTACTCATGACTCAATGCAGAGAAGAGGCAAGACCAACATAAGAACAATTCAGTTTCATCATCTGGTTTTCAAAAACACACAATATTGACTGTTTATTAAGAGAAATAGGCAAGATAAAAGTAAGGTTTATACATAAATGTTACAAGTTTCTCATTCTTAGAGTTGCTTTAGATAGATTTTTCTTTTTTAATGACTGAACACAGCATATTCAAACTGCAAGAGGCTCTTCTCAAAATAGAAAATTACTGGAAGCTTTTGTCATACTGTACATTACAGAATGTTTTGAGTTTAAAATCAAGGAAACTACATTGCAGGGCATGCCTACATTGCAATCAATCTGTAGCTGTAATTTGTGTAGTTACACAAAAAGTAATTTCATGCTGTTCACAAGGAATTACATGTAGACTGCACAACCCTCCTAATAGATTAATACCACTCCTACGCACCAGTGCACTTTCTGTGTACACATAAACACAAGTTTAGCATCATAGGATCATGTATTTTCATTTCCTGAGTGAAATGAATCAAGTTGTATCCACAAATCAACATATGTAAACATTCAAATGTCAACTCAGAAAGGAGGAGATGAGGATAAAAAAAATAAATCAGTTTTTCCTGTGGTTATTCCTATGTGATCTCATCTTTCTTTAGGACTGTATGAGAAGACAAACCTTTTTGTTTTACCATAATATAAATTAAGGACTTCAGAACTTTCCCTGTAATGTCTACTTCCCCACCCCACCCCCTAAAGAAACCATTACTAACAGTCAGGAAGTAAGAATAAAGTATGAAACCATATGAAGAAACCTACCTGCTCCAATTTCGTTTCCAACGTTTGGAATAATGTCATCATCTAGACAATCTGGCAAGCATCCTTTATCTAGTTTTTCTTCAATTTCACTTCCTGTTTTTGCTAAAGAAAAATCTATGCAATCCTCCAGTACTGCAACATGATCAGTATTTTGTGCTTCCAGACTTCTTATTTCTGCACTAAAAAAAAAAATAAAAAATACACAAGCCCTAGATGTTAAATTTATAATTAAAAAAATACAAAGATATGGTATTTGCTATACCTAAAGCAACTTTGTTGCCATTGATGCATCTTAATATGAAAGAAAGCAACTTGCCATTTTCATTATGTAAAATACCTTTATTGTATTCCACATAATTACATCAGTTCATGTATTACACCATGGGGGGCAGAGAAACAATACCACTTTCTGCTAAGCTTTTAGTATGGTGTTTTTCTCATCTGACAATTTCAAAACTAAATCAGAGTAAGAGAAATAAGCAGAAGAATGTTCTTTTGGTCTAAACTACTATCTTCAGCCTTAAATTTGACTATATCTTCCCCACGCTGTTAACTTCTCCAACTTGGTTCTCTCTACCTACATTCCCACCTTACTGCCACAACTCATATATGATTATGCCTGGGTAGGAAACTTTGTTAATCCTTACAGTTGCATACCAGAGCCTTTAATGACATTGATGAACGCAACATACATGACACAGCTGCTACAGAGGCTATCTCCTCAGCTTTCTTTTATAAAACAATGACATTAGTTCCCACATCATGTGAAGCTCCTAAATCTTACTCTAATGTATCCTTATTACAACGCAGCCTCAAAACCCATGCCAGTTCACTTCTCCCACAACTCTGCGTTCATCTTAAAGGTTCTCTACCTGCACAGCTCTGTTTCTAAACCTCATGAGATGGTGCCATCACGACAGCCTCACCTGAGCCAAAGAGGAACAAATTATCCACAAGTGACTTCTAAAGCCTAAAAGATAATACTGGCCTGTGCTAATTTCACATTGTGCCATCTTGCAGACAGTTTTCATCCTATTTTCTGAGTCTGTATTTTCTCTTGTAGCCGCTTTCATTTGCCCCCAAGATTTCTGTCATGACTTTTCTACTTTTCTTTTGTCCAGATCTCGAATTTTTGGTTATATGACCTCAAATTTGCTGTCTACAGAGCTGAAGCTTTTCAGCACTCGGTGAAAACCCCTGAAAGCTTTGATACTATTACCAACTCTTGTCCCATAAGCCCATGATTCACAAAAATAGCAGGGACCCTAGATAGCATCATGTATCTGATCACTAATCAGCCTGCAGCACCAAAGTGTGCTCTCTCTCTAGTTGCCCCAGGTCTATCTCCCACAAGCGTGCTCATTAGGCATCCATTCACTGAAGGAGTTAGCAGCTTAACTGTTAGCCTTGAGAAGTGCTTGGGCAGAAAGCAACAGTTTAATTGTCATAATCTGCTGTTTGGGAATGATTTCAGGTGCTCCATGCAAGTAAACAGAGACAGCTACACGGTGGAGCTGACTACAGAAGAAACAGTTTGGTGTCCTCTGTGTGATAAACCTATACACAGCAGCATATATGAATAAAAATAACCTGCAAGACAAAATCAGCAATTAAATATTTTATTATAAGCAAAAAAAAAAAAAAGAGATACATAATATACCTTGAAGTTGTTCTTTTCCCCTTACTTCCAGAATATGGTCTATTCTGAGCCATGGGCGCGGAAGCACATTTCTTCTTGTTTAGTGGCTACAAAATTTTCCAGAAAGCAGTGATTTTAATCAGAAATTACTACTTGCTAGTATGTTTTTGTTTGTTTTCCCCTCCTTTTTCATATAGGAAAGTATCCCTGAATTTGAGTGAGAATGATTTTCAAAGCCTCACAATCTCAGGAGAGCACCAAATCTCTTCAGTTTTATTTGTACTAGTGCTTATCTTGCATGTTTTATGTCCATACGCCCAAACTATAATACGTCCAATAGTTACTTGCCTGTGGGACCTCTTTCAGACATACTCATAATAAATGAATGCATAAGCAAGGCTTTCAAATATTATTGAGACATTATTTGTCAACAGACTGCATTTCTTTGGACAGTGCTTATTATGGTTTCAATTTTTTTTTTTTAGAAGTGTTATTTTAATGTTATAAATTCCCTGTAGAAAAAAAAAAAAAGATTAACAATATTTTCTTACTTTCGTCCAAGCAAATAATCTTCCAAAATTAGTTTTCTCTACTGTATAAATGACTGAAATCATTATAATCATAAATCTACTGTATAAATGACTGAAAACAACATTTTGGAAACTTTAGCTCACCTCCTAAAAGACTCAATGTAAATTGGAGGCTTTTGAGCTTTTAGTTTGTTCCTAATCTCTATCCCCTTTTTCCACTTTATTTCCCTTGCTTTAAGTTATTTTGACTATTAGTTTATTAGTACAACTAGAAAACTGCAGCACTGCCTCTAATACTATCCTGAGCAAGGAAGACATGAAATTAGGTTCTAATATTTTGCACTTAGAATTGTTAAATTGATGTTCAAAGCACTGAACACTTCCATGAAGTGACAGATATGCTTTACAGAAGAGAAACTTAAAGAAATTAAATGTGGTAGAAGTCCACCTAGCTACAAGTGGCACTGCGGAAAAAAAATACTGGAAATGCTGGTCCATCTGTCCCTGCAGCACTCAGGTTTGAACATCATTTTTCTTCGGCTTCATACCCATTTAAGTCCCCTGTGTTGCACAATCTCAAAAACATAACTGATACGTGGAAGAGAAATGAACCAGGATAATTTTGACATTGATACCTTGGTATGTGAGTGTGTAAGACACGAAACTTCAGGAAAGAGTGGATCTCTGCAGGAACAAAAAAAGAAAATACACCGAATGCGTATATAAAACCATTTTAGGATAAAACTCCACCACCATCTGAATGAGGAGAGTAATGTTTTATATACCTACAATCAGCAATATGTAGGAACATCTACCAAGTTCAATCATCAGCTCACTCGCATTCTGTCATTCCATTCTGTCTCACTTGCCATGTAAATCACCTGGCGAGCCTGAGATGTTTATTCCAGTATGGTCTCCAACATAACAGTTTATTTATGTACTGCAATCTGAATCTCATCTCTTGCCATTCAGGTGACTGCAGCAAACACGGGGTTGTTTGATCCATGATTCCCTGCACCAGGGAGTACTTTGCCAGCTTGTGGAGCGTTAACAGCTTCAACAGCTGGACTGACAAACCATTATCAAAGATCACCAACAGTTCAGTGACTCACACACTTACCTGATATTCAAGCCTCTGAATTAAAGCAAAGAAAATGATGATATAAATCAGTGTCCTCTACATCCTAGGAGAGAGTGCCATAGTATGCTTAGATTGACTGTTGTTAAGTCAATGGACAGTGACTGTCAAGTGAATAAGAGATGGGAGTAATTTATACCAAAAAAAAAAAAAAAAAGCCTCAGAATTTTGTCTGAAATGCATATTACAAATACTGTATCCATTTTGCAGATAAAAACCAGGAATGAAAGAGCAGCTTTCTTATCTGCTTATTTGGCTGGAAACCATACTTCTTAGCAACTAAACTTCAGGTTAAATGATTATTTTAAAATCTCTTGGAAGCAAGAATAAAGTATTAGCACGCTATATGCTATTAACTTCAAGTTTCTTGTCATACATATAATTTATTTTTAGCATCTGAGTTCTGTAGATCTGTATTAATGTACTGAAAGATGACTTTTTAATCACCTCTTACAACTTCTAGCTATTCAATTAACATGCAAGCTTATAAAAAGATAAATAAAAATATATGTAACAAAACTTAAAATCTAGGCACATCAAGTCACCTCAATGATTTGGCTCAGCAGATTTGAGCAAATATTTACATCTTGTCTTTACAAATTTTAGACACCCATCAGTCATCAGCAAGAATTATCTGCACAAAGCTCCAGATTAATCAAAAAATCATCTGTGCGGTTGGCAACAGACTTCAAGAATAGGCTGATTAGTTTTTGTCTGTTTACCCTATTTTCCTCATGCCTCCCTCCTATTGGCTAGTTTCAGGAGTGTGTGGAAGGTGAGGATTTTCTGCCACAGAAATAAGTTGCATATTATTCTGAAAAATATGAAAATCCAGCACTTGATGCTGAGGAAAACAATATTCTTCTTTCCATCCATAGACTAATTTGATCCTACCATTTCTGCTGTCTCACAGCTGCCTTCACAAGACAAAAATGTAAAACAAAAGCCTCATTGTTCACTGAATTCCTCAAACTCATTTAAATTTTTTTTTTCTTTTTGCACACAGATGACAATACATTTTTAATGCCTTGTAATACATTTCTATAGTTGGTAAGTGAAATTAATGTTTAAAATCTGAAAAGGTATACAAGTAAACAGCCGGGCGATTGTGGTGACACTGAAACAGAAGCTAATGGTTAGCAATTCCATCTCGGCATGTAAATACGAGGTGCATGTGCATGAGCAAACCCTTTGTTTGCTAATCCTATTCCAAGCCTATAGCGTGCCTGCCCATGCGCATACAGATCCCAGCGCCATGAGCCTGGCAATGCGCTGAAGAGTGAAAGTGTAAACAAGAGCTGATTTCAATGCAGTGTCTCTGGAGCGGCTTTGTCTCCATGTTATTCGAGTTTCTCTGCAAAAATTAAGCTATAAAATCCTGAACTGACTTATTTTTAAAACACATGCTGACTTAGAGAGTGGCTTAAATATTTTTACCTTTTCTTTTTAACTTTTCTTACTATTTTTTTTGCACTTAACCTGTCTTTTTTTTTTCTGATTCTATTTCCTTCTTTGCTTCAACGTTTGCCCCTCTTTCCAGTTGCTTTAGCGTTCATTCTCCATAAAGCAAACAATGAAACTGGTTTCAAAATTATCTTAAGTGCTTCCTTTAGATTTGTGGCATATTTGCTTGCATAATTTTGGAAAAAAATATATTAAATACTTGGAGCTAATCTAATTGAATGGCCTCAATGTTCACTCATGGATGATCAGTGTGCCCAATTCTTTGCACACATTTCTATTTTTTTTTTCCCACTACACCATGGGATTTCAATTCTTCTCTTACATAAATGTTTACTAGAACACAGACTGTGGTTGTTTTAAGACCTATTAATTTACGTAAGTAATTGGTAGATTAGCTGCTACTCTGATGTGCTAATTGCCAACATTTTCCTAATTATTTCAGCACTTCCATTTATTTCAAATGCATACAATCATAGCTGTTAACTCTCTTTGTCAGGCTGATTCCTCTGATCACATTACCTTATAAAACAGCCCTATAACCAAACTCTGGTTTGAAGTTCCTAAAAATCTTCTGTCCAGTAGTCAAAATCCATCCAGCAGAACACAAAACTAAAGAAAGATCTAGAGTAAATTTGCAAAGCACAGCTATACTGATAATACATGTGGTTTTTGTTTTCTTCCTCACCTCCACAACTGACGCACACAGCCTCAAAACGGCTCAGGAATAATCATAATTACAGCAGTGAAGTTTTTTGCTGGTGTAGTCAGGCTTCCATCACAGACTCGTAGTCATTCATTTTTTGTGTACTGAAAAGCTTTCTTATGGTCATTGAAAACTTTTTTTCACTTTTACTTTGCACAAAAGTAATTAATTGATCATCTCTAGAAGACTTTCATATATACTACTTCAAAACCATTTCCCAACTGCAGCTTAACATTTGAAACAGCTTGTAGTCTGAACCTTGTATCTTTTTAGGAATCTGCCAGCTCAGATCTTTGATTAAACTGCATATTAGTGTATCTCAAATCCACCCACTTTGTGTGTTATCAATATACAATCCCTTGAACAACTGAGTAAATAATAATGTCCCTGAACATCTAAGTAAATATTGTCGGTATCCAGTCTAGAGGTAACAAATTTGAACATACAGGCCAAAACCTCCAGCTGTGCCCAATTCATACAGACCAAAGGCATGTGGGCCTCAGAAGTGTAATGATATCCAAATACCAGAGGGTGGCAGCTGAAGGTTTGTCTATCTTCATTTTTTGTGTTGTTTTTTATCACACACTTCCTGTCCCACAAGCATTTAAGCCAAGTTAAATTAGAAGGAAGAGAACCAGCATTTCTTTGTTTTATCAGCTGAACTGGTTACAAAATATCTACTGCTCAGTGTCTACTGGTTTGCATTGTAAAGAAAACTGCTACTTTTGCTCCTACTTTTACAGATGTCAGAGCTACTTAGCCTCCTAGATAGAGTATTTCAGCAAAATTAAGACCTTCCTTGAAAACACAACGAATAGTTGTTTAGTATCAATTATTTCAAATAGCATAAAATCCAGACTCCACTAATACAGTATGCTGCAAAAATAAGACAAAACTGGAGCACAAATAGGGCAAGTCAAGGTGTGCAGATCATGGCCAAAGATTCGCCATGAATTATACAAAGCAATTGTAAAGCACATACCTCTGTCTGTCATCTTCATGTAACTGAGTTTGTACTGAAATTGGTCTAGATAGTGTCTCCTGTTGGCTTTTCTTTATTAAAAAGAAAAAAAAAAAAAAAAGACAGTATAAATCATTAAAGATTAAATATAAATTCTTAAATCACAGATCACAACTATACTCTATGGAAAAAAACTGGAAACTTTAATCTACCATAGAAATGAATTTTTCAAACATAGGAAAAGATAGCTAGAAATTAAAATACCGCTGATATCCCCAAGCATTTATTTCTGTTCCACAACATGTAATTACTGCCTTTTTACCATAAAACTTTTACCCAACTTATCATCTGAGATGCTGTTACCCTTTCTTATTTTTTTCTGAAATGGAAAAGCAAATGCAGAGCAGGTGAAACAAATTTTCAATTTTAATTATTTTAGAGTAACCCTTAAAAATAAATCTTTGTTTTATTTTATGCAATACAGCTATAATTTGGACACTGATATGCTTTATGTACTTAAGAAAACAATTTAGCCTATCTAACACTGCATATTCAGCTAGCTTATGTTTCTAAGTTACAGTTAGAAAACATAACTAAATGCAGTTGTCCTGTTTAGTTTTTCTTTTTTAAACTTAGACTTGTTTTTCTTTTGTTGTTATATCTGTGCAGTCGGGCAGTGCTATGTGGTATATTAAGTGTCCCAAGAATATCTGATCTGCTGCTGCATTTAGAGGAGGGGAAAAAAGTGGTTTTGTTGTTGCTGTTTTTCTAAAGGGAAGAAACTAGATGCTATTTTGGATGTTTCACCTGCTTCTGCTCAAATGCCAAGCAGTTAACCTCAGTTTATCAGAGCTCAAGAGGGCAACATGTTTTCATAGGACACAAAAATGAAGTTTCAACAGTAGTACAAACTACATGTATCTTTCCAGAATATTTAAGGATTTGGGTTCTAGGCCTTTTCTGAAGTGTGACATTATAATAAATATTTCTAATATTCAGAGCACCTTCTCTGAACCGTTTTGGGTATAAACCAGACCACCCCTGCTCCCTTTTTCATAATTTGCCCAATTTTAATATAAAAATTGGCTACACGGCCAAAACAATTTTAAAAGATACTACCAACAAACAGGAAATTTTTCCGTTTTAAGAAAGCTTCCTTTTAACTAACTACATATTTTCTTTTTGTTATTCTTTATATTCCTTTCAGCTTGAACAATGTAGATCTTATTTCACTAGGATTATTGCAGAAGTATCTGGTTTTCAAATACTAAAATAACATTTTATTTAAGACATGGAAACATCTGCAGACACTTTACTTAAACTTCATAAAATGTTCTTATGTGATTTTATGTATAAATCTGCACAAGTGCTCTATGCATTTGTGAACATCTACCTACCTGATGAACTTACACAAAAATTATTCCTGCATGTGTCTTTAGTAGACGTTCACAATTTTGAAGGAAGTAAAGTTTAGACTGAATTTGAAACCAAAATACCTTTAGTTGTCATGGTCTAAATAATTTCTTTTGAAACTTGAACCTGTGTGCATGTGAACCAAGGCTAAGTTATGTAACAGTCTGCATAGCGTACTCACCATTACTTCTTCAGCCTGACGCACAAGTTTTTCTGTTTTTGCTTCTAATTCTGCATTCAGTCGCCTGAAAGTACAAATGCTTGTCAATGACTTTCTGAAAGATTTGAGGTATAGATGTAATTATGACAGTATCCGTCTTAACTAAATGAAATTGTAATAACTCCTACAAATGAACTACCAAATATACTTCAGGATATTATTCAAACTGATTCAACAGTTTCCTGGGTTTCTATCAAATCTATAATAAAATACCATATACATATTCAACGGTAAGGTTTAGACTTTGATTCCGAGAGGGAAAGGGAGCCCCTTACTTTCTGTTATGTCATTGCTTAATACACATTTAGGTCTTCAATTCCTCAACACTTTTGCTTTTACTTATAATGCTTATCTTACGTGTACTTAGCAGCAGGGGTTGGGTCAGGAGTCACATACCTTTTAATTACATATTCATTTAATTGTATCACCATACATATACATAGATTAGAACATGCTCATGTTTTTGCATGTGTCATTTTATGGCTTTTCACGTAGTGTAACGGGACACTGGATCACCTCACTGCTTACGGGAGCTGGGAACTGAGAGGAAGGAGTGTGCGTGCTTTTACACCAGGGCAGCAAGGTGCTTTCTGGTCTCTAACTGGGGCTGCCTTTTGGGATCCTCACGTCTCTCTGAAGCTTCAGAACTTTTAAGTCTTCTTTTAAAACAGTCTTAAGCACTTAGATCTTCCTAACTTAAAAGTAATACCTCTTTTATTATTGTTTTTAAGCAGAAAAATCTAATGCCCATGAGTGACTTAAGGCCTAGCGCAGCACACAGTCAACCCCGATGCTCCTGTGCAAAACGGCGGTAGGAAGCTGCACTGCAGCAGCAGGAGGAAAAAAAAAAGTTCCAACCCCACTTTTAGTACTCTCATCCGTGCATTTGGTAAAAGCGGCTGAGAGATTCCGACGCTGGGGATGACCCGCAAGCCCCGCTGAGCTAGCGGGGTGCCGGTGAGGCGCTGAGGGACCGCCGCCCCCCGCCTCCTTACTTGTACTCCGCCTCCTTGGCCAGCAGCGCGCCGCTCACCACGCTGCTCCCAGCGGGCGGCGAGGGGCCGCCGGGCGCTCTCCGCACCTGCAGCGAGGATGAGTCAGAGAACGGGACGGGACGGGGCCCGGCCGGGCCGCCTGCCCCGAGCCGTGCCCGCCACCCCGAGCCCGAGCCGCCGCCGCCTCACCCCGGGCATGGCGCTGCCGCTGCCCCGCCGGACGCCGCTCTTGCCGCCCGCCGCCATTTTGTTCGCGCGGCGGCTGCTGCGCGGCGTCGCCCTCGCCCGGGCAACCGGCGGGCGCCGCTCCCTCTCCGGCCCCGCTGCCGGCGTTTTTGTCGCCCCCACCGCGGGCCGTAGCCCTTGGCGAGTCTCTTCTGGCGCCGCTGGGTCCCGGGGGCGGGGGCAGTGCCCGTCGCGGCACGTTAGGGGCACTGCTGCAGGCGCGGGCAGCCACGTTTCGGCCCCGGCTTGGTCGGGCGTTTCCTCACACACACCGTGTCCGGAGCCCCCTGACACAGCCTGCGGCCTGAGGGGGACCGGCTCCCAGAGCAGAGGACAGGGACCAAGCGGCTCACAGCATCGCTGGGCTGCCAAGAGTTTGGGTGAGGGAGAAGTGATGAGGTCTGAGGTGGCTTTACACCCGTCATTGCACTAAATAGTTATTAGAACTCTGCCCTTAAGCCTTTTGGCCTCACGTATCATCCGTCATCACCTTTTCAATATGGCAATTGTTCCACTCCTACCCCATTTACTGCACTCGTGCTCTCTCATGTGTGCATTTTCTGTTCTTAGTTTTCTGTGATTGTTGTCTCTTTTTAGCCTTGTCCTCCGCTATGTTTTTGAATCTTTCCATTATTTTTGTCCCTCACGCCCACGCTGTTTGATTTTGATGCATTTCTCCCTCCCAGTCAGCTACTGGCTCGTTCCCCTTTTCACACATGGTTTGTACTCCCACTCACCTGCTCATTCAGCTGTTTTCCTTTCACACGTTTCTAGATGATGATGCCCTACTGTTGATTTCCCTCCCTGGCAGTTTCTGAACCCTACACCTCTGAGGAAGAATCAGAAAAGCACCATTCTGAGCTGCATTGAGCCTAAGGGTCAGAGGTCTGGATCTGGATGGCCTTGATGGGGTTAGTTCATTAACATTTCTGTCTCTGCAACACATGTACAGTCACATATGTATATCTGGATGTCTATACAGTAACAATAGTATACCCTGAATTATATAGACTATGCTTTTAATGAAGAGATATGCACAGAAGAAATCACAGGGACTTAACTGATTAAACACAGAGGGGCCATATAGTTGAAGAATACTTCTGATTTCTGATATATAATACTTCTGAATACTTCTGATTTCTGCAGAAGTATTAGTTGCAAAACAGAAGAAATGCTTGGAGATTAACTTTGAGCACCAAGACATGAATTGTAATGGGATAAATGGCGATGAAATGAAAGACAGGACAAATGTGATTAGCGGAAGGCAAAAAATACAAATACCAATATAGAAAATGAAAGTGCTTAATGTTAACATTGGTATTGATACAAAGGGGAAAGGGATGAGCCTATGAAAAAGAAATTACAGAGCTTTTGGAAAAAACAGACAAGAATTCAGACCGTTACAGACTTTTTTTTTTTTTTTTGGTCAGTGAGAATGGCAAGAGGTTAATGGGTGGTGGCCTTTGAAAAACAAAATGCAGAATTTAACTCTAATGGTTAGGCTTTTGATTTGGAGAAACAAGGAAGAGAGAGGTCAATAGACGAAACTGGACCTGCACCAAGGGAAAGACAGGTTTTGTTAAGTAATAAATTGTCAATTCTAAGAGGGATTATAGCATCATAACCAAAATGAGGTTTTGGGGGACTTTAAGAGAAACAGAAAAGCTAGAGAATACCAACAAGGTGAAAGCTATAATGCCAATATGAAAGCTATAAGGATGAACATGCTCGTTCCAAATGGTAACAATTTTTTTTTTTCAAAAGAAAAGTATTTTTTTTTCTTTTTGCAGACAAATATTTTGGTAAGATACCCACTGTTTTTGAAGTTTTCATCCAATATAACTGTATAAGATCATGACGTTAAAAATGGCATAAACATTAGCTAGAGGATCTCTGCTAGTTAGGTATGCAGGCAACAAGATCACTGGTTGAGATTAGAGAGATTAGAGCCACTTTTTTTAGCTAGCTTTTAGCTAACTTGATAAACAAAAGTGGGGTAATTTATTGTATCATAAATGATTAAATATGTTAACAAACACAGCAACACAGTTCTTTTTGTGTAGAGCCCTCTGGGAATGATAACATACATACGTATTAGGATTGCAGATTTGCACATTTCTCTATGATCCACAACATGATTTATTTAATACGATTTATTTTATTGAAATATTTAAATCCAGTTGTACTGGATTTAAAATTCAACTACCTATATTTAAAATAATATGAAAAGATGAATATGTTTAGATAAGTATTTTTTGGTGAACTTTAAAGTATTTCTCCAGAGATGCAGAAAACAGAAATAAAGAGATTGTTATATTCTTTATCCCCTACTCCATTAAGGTTTTACCACTTTGATGTTGACTTGATGTGACCTTAACAGTTGTGGTTAATTCTATAATACTTAGTTGGTAACTGGGTAGAGAATAGGCTTATATTAGAAGGGACAACCAATAGCGAGATACTTACAGAGCTAGCAGAATTTATTTAATTTATCTGAAAAAAGCACTTGAAAACAAAACATTGGTATGGTCTGAGATTTATCTGACATTATTTGTTAGCAGATTCCCAGTTTCCCTTTAATCATTTCTAAAACGTTAACCTAAAAATCATGATTATAATACCACGTTTTTGTAATTTTGAAACAGAGTTTGGATTTCAAATGGATCAATATTTGTGATCATTTTGAGCAATAGTTGAGATCTATTGCTAGTATCCCTCCATGATTAGTGGTTGTAAATCTTCATTCTTCTGTAGCTTCCACATACTGCATTATTTTTAATTTTATAAGGTTTCTTCAGGATGATGTTGTTCTCATAACCCAATGGCTCTAACAAAAATGCATGCATTCCAAGTTAAGTGGTTCACTGCATTGCCATTGTTGATCTTTCAGCAAAGGAGGAGGCAGATCATAGAACAAAAGAGCTCGATCAGTATAGCTGGTAGGAGTGGTTCAGGACAGAAGGGTATGTGTTGCTGATATGCTGTTAGAATAGTTTATTGCAGAAGACAGCTGAGGATCAATATACAGTGTTTGCTTTTGATTAGATCAAAGAACATGCATTATTTGTTACCTATGGCCCTCTTCTTTCTGCAAGCACAAGCGTGGACTACTTTCCTTTTCAAAATAAGAATATAAAAACTTGAGTTTTATATATTAACCTGTTATTTTTACAAGTTTAGATTTATTTTTTTTCCTCCTAGTATATTCTTATTGGCTTAGTGTCTTCAACATTCATTATATAGAATTTTCCATGCCTCTCATAAAAGTTGTGACATTTAGTAGAGACTTCAATACCATCCATAGCTAACAGTGTAGGAAAGCACAGGATTTTCATGCATGTGCATACTACTTGTCAGAAACAGAGGAACAATAGTGTTTAGGAGAAGATGTTCCTCCATAAAAATCGTTGCTAATGCATCAGGTCAAAGAGACAGCAACTGATACCATTGCTGAAGTTGTGTTTTGTTTATTTTTAGGCCCGTGCTAAACAAATAGCCTAAATAGCATCATATATATGCAAAAGGCTTACCATTTTTAGATCAACAATTACATTAAGGGTTGTATATTGTCCTTGGTAATGTGGTAGAACTAAATTCAATTAAACTCGCATATATGAGAGAGGCCTGTGATAAAATATTATCTGAGTACAACTCTAGAAGGAAATGGCTTTTACAGGACTTACTGCAGCCTGTTGAACTCTCCATACTGGGAAAGAGGGATGCTTTACAGAGGCAAACTGTGTCATTCTTACGTGTATGCAAGTTTCTTTGACCAGTACAGTCTGTACTGCTTAGATTACCCAGCTCTGGGTTGAGCAGTCATGAATAGACTGTTTACTGCACTATGTTTACATTCTCAGCTCTGAATACTGGTACTTTTCTCAGTCAACACCCACGTTTTTAGGCAAGTGAATCCAAAGCAATCCAATCCACTCTCAAAGGAGGTCTGTGTTACTGGGGCTGCCTCTGTTGCAGCAGTGTGCCACACAACGCTGCCATATCTCGTGGTCCACGTGATATAAGCTGCCGTTCACACCATGCCTCTTATCTGCTTGCTTCACAAGCAGGGCATGCACAGGGAGCCTCACAGAGAACAAAAACCACAGCCTGTGCAGGCTGAACCAAGTAACAAGGAAGTAAACTAGAGACAGGCTGACTGTAGCACATGCAGACAGGCAAGGAATGTAAAGTTAACAGGCAATGTTCATCTATCTATCTATCTATCTATCTATCTATCTATCTATCCTACCTAAATGTACCACAGAGGATGTCAAACTTGCATCCAATCACATCATTGTAACAAGCCACTGCAACACTTGCACCCACCCACTTCACACTAGAATAGTTTCCCTACCTTAAATTTTTGTTTCATTTTTCTAGTTCCAATTTCCTGGAGGGGCAAGGAGGAAGAGCAGAATTTTGGAATGAATTATATGTGAAATTTCATATTTAGCAGTTTTCTGAAAAGTCGGGGGGGTTGGCTGCACTGACCCATCTTAGTTTTTGCTTTAAAAGATAGAATTGGTATTTCGTACATACTGTGTGGAGTACTTTAGGAGTAGTAACAGCCAATCTCACCCCCAAATCAGGCTAATTTTAATAAAATACATAATTTTGTGCAATTACAGAGAAAATAATGCAAACTTGTTTACCAACGATCATTTTCAAACATTAGTGGAGTGGTAGGATCTAGACAACGTTAAGCTATTTAATCAATAACCCAGACACTGAGGGAATTCCCAGACAGCTGTTGGATTTTTCTCCCAAAATCAGTAACAATAATCCAGTGGTGTTTGAAATGGCATGATTGCATATTGTAATGTATTAAAATACCTTCTGTAATGTATAAAAATACATGCTGATATTTCCTCATGGCTCTCTAATTCCTCCACAAGTATTATTAATAGCCACGTATTTCTTATGGAAAAGCTGCTAACTGCTTGGGCATAGGAAGCCTGGAAAAAAATCTTTTGACTTTACCAGCAAATATCCTAAAATGGTTTACTGTTAGTATAGACTGTTATCACATGTTTTTTAGTGTACTGACACTGATGGATGTTAGTTGTTATGCATCAAGTTGGTGTGGCAGAAGCAGAGGAGGTGTGCGTGAACCGACCACATGGATTTCAAAGGACAACAGGCCTGGGGGATGGGCAAGCTGACCTAGTAAGTCTTTTCCATCTCCAGTGCCTCCAGTTCTGCTTTCATACGGGTTTCGGTTTGATGGAAATATTTGTCTTGTTTCCAGTAGCTGTGTAGACACATACAACATCCAGTTGCTATGTTGTTCTAGATGATGATTATATAGCTGTAACTAGCTTGCTTAGGGTGTTCAGAATGCTGTTTACAAATACAAACATTTTTCTTTGTTCTTCTCTGCTTTGCTATTGGAGCTTACGTATTTCTGTGTCATCCTTTCTAACCTAATCCAAACAATAACCTTGGCTCAACAATTTAAACATATTGAATCCCCAAACAGAGTAGTTTTTCCTAGTAATACTCTGATTACAGCAGCTTTTATGTCTGAACAGGAAAGGACCTTAAACACTAAATCTCATCAGAACTGTAAAAAATAAGTGGTGAGCATCAGTCACATTTTCTTGAAATACCACAAGTCTTTCTTGAGGCCTAATCCTTTAATCTCTGGATTTTGGGCACTTCTGTTCTGATTACTAGGGATCAAAAGGTTTGGCAAATACTCTTCAGACCGTTCTTCAAAGTGGCCACTGTAATGTTACCAGGTTATGACAAGTTTATGATTTTTTTGTTGTAGTAGTAGCTGCTGGATTTTTTTTTTTGGGGGGTGGGGGTGGGGGGGCAAAAACAAGCAAACCAAAGCCAAGAAAAACAAGATAATCAGTCTGTCTCACTGAAAATTATTAATAATTAAAAAGCACGTGGTCCTCCAGTG